AAATAACAAAGAATAGAGACATGAAAAGTCCCTCCCTCTGCTTCTTCCCCCAGACCACGTTCTGTCATCCACTTGCTTAAGGCTACCAGGTATGTCATGTATTTTTTTTTGGGGGGGGGTGCCTTGTCTCTCTTTCCCTCTATTCGTCCGTGAGTATCAGATTTCCCAGGCCCTCCTTCCTCATTTTGTGTCCCAGAAACTTTTGCTGCCTCTTCCTGGTGTTAAGTATAAGCCTTGTTTGAATCCTCTGTAAGACGTCATCGTTCCACACACGCTCGGTCCATGATATCCTTCTATAGAACCGCATCTCTGTCGCCTCGAGTCTCTTCTTCATCTTTGAGGAAACTGTCCACCATTCGCTGCCGTAAAAAAGGACAGATGTCACGTAACAGCTCAGTATTCTTTTCTTTTACCAAAGAAAGCCTCCTGTTTCGCAATACTCTGCTCAGCCTTTGGAATGTGTCCTTGGCCATACCAATAGGTCTACGGATTTACCGTCCTCTGCCGAAACGCTTCCCAGATATTTAAACTTCCGCGTCAGCTTGATTCTAGTGTTCCCGACCTGCAAATTGCATTTGGGGCTTGTCCTTTTACTGATGACCATTCATTCTGTCTTCTTGTAGTGTATGCTTAGTCCCTTCTCCTCACTCTCCATCGTTACCTTCTGTAGGAGATTTTGTAATTTCTTTCCCGTGTCTACTATCAGCACTGTGTCATTTATGTCATCTGCGTATCTTATGCTTTTAAGATTGTGGCCGCCTTTGCTAAATCCCAGTAGGGTTTCTAATTCTCTCGGAATTGCCTCGCTGTATAGTTTTGTATATTCACTGAACTCGTTCCCTACGCGCATGCATGCTGTTTGCTGACAGTATAGATTCTTGATTATTCTGACATCTTTCCCGAATATATCAAGGTTGCTGAGCAATTCCATCCGATCCCTGTGGCTTCCTTTGTCGAACGCCTTTGCGTAGTCTATGAAACATAGGTACAGGTCTTTCTGCATTTGTATCGCTCTTTCTGATAACATCCTGAGCATGAATATTGCGTTCCTTGTTCCGTTGTCTTTACCGAACCCGCACTGCTCTCGTCCTATTTCTGGTCTGATTCTGCTGCGCGCTTTATTCATCAGAATACGGATGATGAGTCTTGTCGCGTGGCTTTTTAGGCTTATTTTTCAGTGAAGTTCGCATTCGTTTGCGCCTGGTTTCTTAGGCATAGCGATGAAGATAGATCCGCTGAGGTCTTACGGTATATCCCAGTTGTTAAAGATTTCATTTGCTATTTCGGTGATCTTGTCTATGCCAAAGTCATCTAAGACTGTCAGCATTTCCGTTAAAATTTCGTCTGTCCCGGCTGCCTTGTTGCTGTTCAATTTGGCCAGTGCGTCTTTTACTTCGGTTTCAGGAATTCCAGGTCCGTCGGTAGTTCTGAGTAGTGCTGGTTGCTCCCTTACGCCGTGGAAGAGTTAGTGTTTCATTAGACAGCGGAAATTGTGATGCCGAAATCCGAATGCGCACTGGATTAGCAAAAGATGCCTTCCAAAAGCTAAAAAAACGTATTAGGTAACAAGAGAATTTCGTGAGAAAAAAGAAAAGAATACTTAAAAAAGCGATGCAATATCAATCATTCTCTCTGGCAATGAATGCTGGACAATTTCCTCACGGATGAAGAGGTGACTTGAGGTAACTACTGAACTTTGTTGGTAATAACATGGACAGAACATCTAAGCTACGAGGAGGTTTTAAAGAAAGCGGAAACAAAAAGGTTGCATATATTTATAATCAGAATTGAGACAGGTGAAATTTCTTGGACACATAATGAACAAGGAAGGGTTTTAAAAAATTAGCACTCATCTATATAAATAAATGCGAATGGCAGTACGACACTACTGCTAGAGGCCGTAGGCCAACGTATCATACCATTTTGGAATCAGGCCGACTCCATCAGCAAATTAAAAACATTCCGGGTTGGTTCCGAACCCGCAATCCTGAAATTTAGGATTCTCATGTTTTCATTACTGCGATTATTTTCGGGGATTTTTGTACATGACTTTTGCGACGAATTTTTTTGTACCATAACAATTTTTAGAATTTGGAAATAAATTTGGGAATAATCTAAATTAATTGCGAAATCCAGCGAAAATCACGCATGAAATAAAATAATTGTGGACCTACGTGCATTTAATTGTCTTTAGATTAAGTGGCAGTAAAATTATCGTTGAACTTTTAAAAGATAAAGTTAAATATTAATGCAATACTTAAATGCAGCGATCATTTTTTAGTTCTTCTGTAGTTTATTGTTGCCTATCACATACGGCTGCATTATGCCTCGGAAAAAGAAATCTCCGCTAACAGAGGACCACGTTGCAATCAAAAGAGCCAAGGGTGCAGCGAAGAAAAGAATGTCCCGTGCAAATGAAAACGTAGATCAAACGGCAGCCAGTTGAGCTTCCAATGGCGAGAATTTCTCAAACTCCTGAACCAGTCAAATGCCCAATCAGCAGCCCCCACCACCACCACCACCGTTTTAAGCTAGTAGGTCATATGGACTGTAAGATGAGTAGAGAGGAGCAGCGAGAAATCCAGTAACATTTTTTAATCGGTGTCACCCCAAAAAGGTAGTACAGCACTAACACGCAAGGAGTGATAGTGTGGAGGAATTGGGAACAGAAACATTAGTAATGATTAGAAAGAGAAAAAGAGTAGTTAGAAGGACAGTAGATAGCTATTGACATTGCATTAAAATTTTTGCAGATGAAAGTAGGCTGGAAAGCATTGAGCCAGAAGGCAGTTCCACAACGAGAAGTGCGAGATAAGAAACTGTCAGCATAAAAGTTCCGTCTACATCTAGCTAGCTCTACTGTAAATTGATGAAATCTTGTCACGAGTCTAATATTGCACTTAAATTCATACAGTCGAGGTACCATAGCGAAGAGCTCATCCAAACAGTTGTCTGTTTGTCTATCCACCTCTCTCTATCTCTCTCTCTCTCTCTCTCTCTCACTCACTCACTCTCTTTGTTTCTTTCTCTTCGATGCATCATAGATCAGTACTTGAGTGTCTTGCCTGCGTTAAAATCAGTACTTGAATGTCATGTTTAAACCAACTAGAAGTTGCTAGTTCTTAATACAGTTATACACACACATACACATATATATATATATATAGTCAATCATTTCACCACAAGGAAGGCGGTAATACCACTAAGATACAAGAAGTTGCTGTCTGTGAAAGGGAATGAGAAGATTTTATTGAGATGAAAGGACAATAAAAGTGTTCAGAAAGACAGAAAATGGCGGCGATTGATGGGGTATTAACATTTTTTAAAATGGTAAACGACGGGGAAGCAATGAATACTACACAAATATTTTAAAATGTTTACAGTAGATAGTTTAAAATATCTAGGTTTTAACTAATAGTTTTTTGTTTTTTTTTTGTTTTTTTTGTTTATGTTTCTGAGATGAGGTATTATGCACACTATTTACATTATTCGGACCATTGTAAAAACAAGTAATGTTAACAGCAAAAATTGCAATATGTGCACTGGTAAAAAATGGTTGCTGAAGACATTAGGTTTATAATACCCAGAAATTTATGTCCTCAAGGACACATGACACAGTGGATAAAGGCGTTGGTTAGATCCTGCGACAGGACCCAAAGAGTGTTAGTTCAATACCCGGTTAAGGCAGTGGAGAACTTGGAGAGGTGAATTAATGGGAGATAACTGATAACTGGCATCTGTTAAACATAACATGTGGAACTACCCCATTGAGCGAAATAAAGGGTTCAGTTTGACATTCCAGCCAGCTGAAGAAGGCCGGAGCGTACAACGGATGAAACGTTGTAATAAATATGGCGACAAAGATGAAGACAATAGTCCGAATAGTGTTTTTTTTGTTTGTTTGTTTTGTTTTTTGAAGTAACTTAGTAATATATATTGAGTGTTATCAGACAGAAGGAGTCGATCATCGCGTGTGACAGCTTTGAAAAGTGCCTGAAAATCATACCAAGGGTTGACCCAAGCCTTGTGAGTGAAATTGGGTAGACGGAACCCTTGGGTGCCGTCGTTAACTGTGCTAGCACGAAGTCACAATCATCGTGGCTGAAGGCTTGAGCATGCTGGCCTTGTTCAAATTGTTGATCCCGCTAGATAACACGCTCTTTCCCAGAAACTGTAAATAATGGGTGGATCAGCATAGTTGCAGTATAAACCACAGGTGAGCTCTGTGGGTGTTGATCAAATGTGCCTGAGCGAGCGTCTGCAATAGTAAACGAGAATCCTCGAATACGAGTGCCCAGCTATTATAATATATATATATATATATATATATATATATATATATATATATATATATAAGATACTACTGATAATAATATTAACACAAGATTGTTACAATTGATAACAAGAAATCCGCTATCAGGTAAAGTCAGGGCAAAAAAACAAAGTTTACAATAAAGATAGGAAATAAAATAATCAAAATATAAAACCCTATTCAGGATATCGCTCATCAGTAAAAGACAATAAAGACACCAAGGAAGAATAAGTGTACAATTCCTGATTTCAAGATGGGCGATATTCAGTCGCGTTGTATTCCTCCCGGATTAGATCTGTTATAATATAATCAGCGCGTAGATAGCGTAGCTGGTACTTATTCTGAGGCCTACATTTAGAAAGCATTTTAGACATTTTGTTCACCAGCGTCTTCCACTGGAAGAATACTAAAATGCATCATTTTCTTTCCAGCATGTTCCACAGTTTTTAGATCCTATCTTGCGGGCATATGCTTTCCCTAACAATTCTCCATTTTAACTCCGGTATTTCTCTGTTTTTTTTTGTTTTTTTTATCTTTCGGTTCCTACAAATACGTAGAAAGCGATGTACTATTAGCCGACTGCTTTCTCGTAAAAGAAAAATGTTTTGCGGTGATAGTATGCTGTTTTCCTGGCCCTTCTCCAATGTAGGACATGTCGTGATCACTTCTAGCCTTCACAGTTGCTTTCTACGTCCATATCACGTTGAAACGCCGGTTCTCGTAGGATCACCGAAGTTAAGCAACGTTGAGCCTGGTCAGTAATTAGATCGGTGACTATTTGGGAATACCAAGTGCTGTAAATTGGGATGTGTGGGTGGTGTGATGGATAAAGCAACGGAATTAGAAGTCGAGTTACAATTTCAGTCGAGTTCGTTGTATTCAAATGCTCTTGGAAAACGTATGAATTCACCTCTTCTCCCCAATCTATGGGTTAATTAGTACTACTTGTATCCGTAAATCTTTATTATATCCTGATTTTAAGTAACCTGTTAAAGGTTGATAAGCCGTAAAAACAAATCAATTCTTCCCTCAATTCACAGTTGCCTTGTAAACTATATTAGTAGTTAAAAATTTACTATCGATCGCTGCTATGTCTATATTTTGCCCATTTTTATATTATAAAATCCTACTAAAAACTATTCTATACAGCACCTTCAGTGCTTTGAAACAAACCAAAACCCCGTGTCACAGCGTTTCAATCTTGGGGATGAAAAAATATGACAGTTAACTTCTTTTCTTTTTTATGTGCCGTGTTCTTTCAGTGGCTCTCCACGTCCCTCTATCCTTTGTAGCTGTCAACAAGTTCCTTTCCTCTGTCATCCACTTGCTTAAGGCCGCTAGGTATGTCATGTGTTGTTTTCCCTTGTTTCTCTTTCCCTCTATTCGACATGTGAGTATCAGATTCTCCAAGCCCTCATTATGTGTCCCAGAAACTTCTTCTGCATCTTCCTGATGTTAAGTATAAGCCTCCTCCTTGTTTACATCCCCTCAAAGACCTCATCGTTCCACACACGCTCGGTCCATGATATGCTTAGCATCCTTCTGTAGAACCACATCTCCGTCGCTTCGAGTCTCTTCTTCATCTTTGAGGGAATCGTTCAACATTCGCTGCCCGTCGACGATACAAAATTCTGCAAAAATAAATCTTAATTTTTTCTAGGTGGTCTTAAACCTTTGGCTATGACTGTATTTTAAACAGCAAATATTACTTTTACAATATAATCTTTGACAATGTACTTAACATTTTTCGTTGCATCACATGAATAAACCGAATGCTGTAGAATGAAAATGTCAGCTCAAAAATCATTAGGTAATTAGGTCAGGCTACAGATTAACTGATCCAGCTTTGTATATTGCGTACTTTATATATATGTCTGGTATTTCCCAAACTGGCTTCAATGTTTTTGGGTGCATGACAAGATTAAAACAGAAATTTTCAATGTTAAATTTCAAATAAACAGAAGCGCCTGACTTTGGCGCAATGAATTCTTCTTAATTTTAATATGCCTCAAATTTGAACCTTCTCCAAAACTTACATAAAATTTGTGATACGTATACCTTCATATATATATATATATATATATATATATATATATATATATACAGAGGAGAGAGAGAGAGAATCCTATTAAAAATAAGTAGACAAAAAGTGTCAAAATTGTTTAATGTCTTCATATATATATATATATATATATATATATATATGCGTGTGTCTGTGTGTGTATATTTGTACATGCACACACACACAAATATATATATATATATATATATATATATATATATATATATATAGTACAGATAATAAAACGGTTGGTATATAATCCAAATGGATACTAATAATATATAATATTAAAACTGATCCACAAAAAGAGTTCAATGTATTTAGTATAATAGAGCATATAAATTACATAAGATTGAAATCCAAACTTACCTCATCAGTAGAGCCTATTTCAGCTAACGTCTGTAGCCTTATTCAACTCAAAACCGTTTTGTGTTGAATCAGGGTAACGCATTATTATTAAAGTAAAAATTATTAAAGTAAAATATACGCTTTCCGGCAATATTCGAACGTGCATTTCCCCTGGGCAAGAAAAATCCAACGTTAGATCCGGCCTGCTTATACCGACTCAGCTACTGAGTGAGTAGGTGATCTTGCATATGAAGGCACTATTTGACTTTGCTTGATTAGCACGCCACTTCGTAACTGAGTCGGTATTAGCACTTCCAAACTAACGGCCGTTTCTCCTGTCTTTGTTGATAATGTTATTTTACAAATTTATTTTTAGCTACATTTGAACTTTTACACACACACACACACACACACACACACACACACACACACACATATATATATATATATATATATATATATATATATATATATATCACATTTTAGAATGTTTACAGTAGATAATTTTAAAATATCTAGGTTTTGACGAATAGCTTTAAATTGTTTGTTTAAAAAATAGTCAGACATTTCAATAACTTAGTTACCTCCCTTGACTTACTACACGTGTATGTTTACATCATAAAATTTAGAAATCGTACAGTACAAAAGTTAAGCGTTTTTTGACTTCATAAGTAAAAAAATTTAATTTTCAAATGAATACAACAATTTTGTCTTACATAAAACAAGACTCTGATGATGACATTGTGCTAATGTCGAAAGTACTTGGAATAAAAGGAATATGCATCGACATGGTAATATTCTTCCTTTAATAAAGATAGTAAGAAACTTGTCCGTAATTACAAGATGATCCTATTAAAAATAAGTAAACAAAACTTGTCTAAATTATATAATGAGACATGTCTTGATATATATATATATATATATATATATATATATATATATATATATATATATTCATGAATTATTCATACAAAAAAAAATACAAAGGTTAATGATTTAATTGTCGAGAAATCCATCGTCGCGAACAATTCAAATAATATACAAAAACCCCAATAACTCATTTCTAATAGCATTTTTCTGATTACAACAGTACATATATTTTCGTTGTCCTCTTATTACTGAGAGAAACACAAGAACAAAATCTATTCCATACCTGAGGATGTCTGTATGAACAGACGAAAACTTGTAAAAATAAGAACTCATGCAACAGAAATTCATAGAAACAAGGATCTTTTCATGCATAAACAGGTTCGGGGTTTTTGTATATTATTTGAATTGTTCGCGACGATGGATTTCTCGCCAATTAAATCATTAACCTTTGTATTTGTTTTTTGTATGAATAATTCATGAATTTGTAAATTAATTGCACCTTTATTGAAATACATATATATATATATATATATATATATATATATATATATATATGCGTGTGTGTGTATACTTAGGTAGTATATCTTAATTAAAACACGTTTTACTGAATAATATAGACATATTGTGTTTATTAATATTCATACCGATCCTTTTCAGTTTTCTGGTCAATTTCTTGATAAGACGAAATTCATCAAGAAGGGCGCCGTCGTTTTTTCATACCCAAGTACTTTTATATTGGGACGCTTGTTTTGCAAAAGATTCTATACCTACAGAGGATTAATTTTAAATTTTTAAATAGTTATAACAAAGCACGTTCATGCATGCTTTTTTGCTTCTTTTTTTAATCCCCATATGCATAGCAGAAGAATCGTGAAGAAATCGATCATAAACGAAAAAGACATCTTCATCATTAACTAAGAATAAACTAAGCATTGGAAACTCATGAAACATTGAAATAAAATTCAAATATTATTATTCCAGGATCATTTTCCAATTTATTCAACATGATCTTTGCCCTCTCTAACCTTCTAACTTTCGGTCCTGGAGTAACAAGTTGTCTCACAGGTTTCTCAAACGATTTCATTTTCAAGTTTTTTTTCACTACTCTTTGGGCTGTCATAACTGCAACTCCTCTCACACGTGCCAAACGTCTTATGAATTAAGTTGGATCTTTTCTAATAGATCTCTTTAGCTCTAAGTTGAAATGATGATCCCTCTTCCAGTTTTCCCTGAAAACAGTGGGGCTGACACAAAACGATTTTAACCTGTTCTCTTTTTCGCTGATTAACTCAATTGGCTTTTCAGTGATTCTTACAAAAAAGGTGTCTAGATGGTTAAACGTCTTATCTGAATACCTGGAAAAGAGAAACTGAATTGGTTTAGTGATTTTTTTTTTTATATATATATATATAAATATTAAACATTTTGTCGGATGGATGATCATGCTGTTACTCGATTTAGACAATTTTGCAGTTACATCCGGTGTATATATATATATATATATATATATATATATATATATATATATATATATATATATATATGTGTGTGTGTGTGTGTGTGTGTGTGTGTGTGTGTGTGTGTGTGTGTGTGTGTGTGTGTGTGTGATCGGCTCGGATCGAGAAATTAGAGCGCCGAGTTCGAATTTCAGTTGAGATCCTTATATTCCCTTTCGTGCAAATCTCCTTATGAAAGTTATGACTTCATCTCTTCTCACCCTCACCCAATCCAGCTGTAAGCTAAATAGTAGGGTAGACTGGGTTATTTATCTTTGATTATCGGCCAAGCTAGGAAAAGGATTCAAAACCAGAGGAAGACTGTTTGGAGGATTTCCTGACAATAGCTCTCTTTATTCGATTCTTCCAAAAAGTCTGGCGGGTTCTGCACAAGCCCTTACCACTATAATCAAATCATATATGTGGGCTAGTCTGGCAGTTCATTTATCGAAGATAAAATGTTGGAACCTCATATTGTTCTTGGGTGCAAACGTCTGAACTGGTGGAGCTAAGGAATGTACCTCCTCAGAGCCTTTGCCATAGAAATAGCGATATAATTGCCAAGTTTCCTCTGTGGTACATGTTATATACCCTACCTATAAATACTAATGGGTATGTCCCAACCTTCATAAATACGTCGAACACTAATTTTGATTATCAGTTCCATCTTTTTATTCACCCCTCCCTGTATCGAACGTTAAATCTGACTTTCCCCCAGGACATTGGCGTCCTGTCTCCCGACTGTACCATCAAAACTGAGATGGGAACAGGCTCGATGGGAGAGGTCGTTGGTGTCCTGTCCGTCCATGTTTAATGCAGGAGAGCAACACTAATCGGTTTCATTATGGTTCTCTGGTTAGCTACTCTGAATGTCCAAGGCCTGAGGGCGGAGTCTCGCAGGGCGAGGCTCCTTCGTAACCTTCAGCGTCTCAGAATGAATGTTTGTCGTGTGCAAGAGACCCGTTTTTCTACTCATTCTGTCTAGGGGGTTCTCCCGCTATTCAGTATGTTTTGATGTTCGTTC